TTACGAGAACCAGTTGCGGTATTTCCAACAGGATAGGACCGCTGGAGCCAGAAGGCGTGAAAAAACGATAGCGAGCCAGAGGGTGAAGATTTTCCTACAGCAGCGTTCAGACTTCGCGATGAAGCTTGTCAAAGCGCTGTAAGGCAGCGTTCAGACTTCGCGATGGCAGCGCTTCGGCTGTGCATTCGACGCGATCGCTGCGTGCTTTCGGCTGCATTGATCGCATCGAACGCGCGACTGAAGCGCTGCCGTTCGCTGCCGTCGCGAAGTCTGAACCTGGCTAACGTGCCGTAACCCGCCTCGACGCAATACAGCTGCAAGAGCACACGCAGCCGCAGACAACGGCGCCCAAGACGCTGATACTCCTCGAACGCTGACTCTCCCAAACGCTAGAGACCAGCTCCTATCCATAGCTATGCTATCCCTTCCGCTAAAAACGCTCATTCCCCGAAAACGTCAACTCGCAAGGTATCAATGCAGCCTGAAGCACACTTTGCACGCTCATGTCGAGAAGTGAGTTTTTTTTTTTGGAAAAGCGCCACGTCTTTAAGTATATGGGTAGAAAGCCACGCCTTTTCAAACTCGAAAGTAGCAGCTCGAATGGCTTAGCAGTACGTTACAACTGAAATACGAACTTCCACCCTCTCTGTATCGTTTGCACCCAGATTTCTACCTCCTCCCCACCTTGCAACCTCCTACCGCTTCACTGCTATTCTCAGTCTCCTAAGTAGTTCTCGTGCTTGTCCCTTCTTGTGTTGCCAACTCACTTAATCCGTAACTTTTCCTGATGTAATTTGTCTCATTTTCTCCCTTTCCCATTCTCGAAAGTTATGTTCATGGTGCTCGTTCACGAGGCCCTTTAGGGTAAGAACTGCTGCAGGTAACTACAGATACAAATATAGTATTTCCTTTCGCCTCAATTTTTTTTTCAGTTACAGCCCTATATGACTCTGTGGTTTCCTTTCACCTCATATTTCCTAATTTCAGGCTCAAAATGTGATCTGCATTGCAAAAATGGAACCAAATTAGTTATCGACTACTTCAACGAAATTGGGTACAACATGGGCGATTTGGGCATCGAGTATAACTTTCTCATCAAACACTCAAGGACATAAGCAATAAATTACTCAAAGCAGGTAACGAATAAAGACGATAAGACCGATATCTTAAAACCGATCGACAATCGAAAAAATAATTGGAATACCCAGCGCGGCCGGTTACCTGACGGCACAGATGCTTAGCGTGCATTTGCGTCGCACGCACGTAATCACACGTCTCCATGGAACTTTCGAGCTGATTCAAGTATAACCTAGGTCATATGGCTGTACCTATCTGGTTGCTAGGTAATCCATTGCCGCGTTTGAATTTTTTGAAGGAGTATCCCATAGTTTTTGCCTAAATGCCAGCCATTTTTCACTTTATACCGCTTTATTTTGCGTTCTCAAAAGTGTTTGTAAATATTGGTGTGGTAGAGCATCTTCTGCATCGTTTTCCTGCCGTTTTGAACAAAGTATCATAGTTATGCGTTCGAACTACTCATGTTCTTTTGAATAACAATTTTTAGTCTCTACAAGGAGATACGATGAGTAACGGTAGGAATTGTGAATGTCGCATTCTGGACTGATTATACAAATAATCTGGGAGTTGTAACCTTTACCTTTTGCCTGGAGATAGTCTATCACTCTAATGAAGGAAGCATATTGGTCGTGAATTCGGGTATCGTTCTTGCCCAATGACACGGGATACTAAAAACGATTTAGTTTTGGTTCCTTTGAAAGCAGAACATTGTACATGAGACCAATCCGCATACTTTCGACTACATGTTTCGTTCAGGGATGTACAACATTCAGGTCGCGTTCATACTTTGCGATTTGGGAGACTTCGTTAAGGGCGATGATGCGCCAAAAGAGTGGAGGGGTATCGATCAGCGCAGGACGCCCCTTTACGGGATTCGGCGATCCGGCGATTTGAGAGAATCGGCGATCTGGCGTTTTGGGTGACACCAATACCCATGCGCTCCTTTGGCGCAATAGCTGGGAACCCGAGTCTTCTGAATAGCCGGATCGCTCAATCTCCGCAGTCGGC